TCACAGTGGCGCTAGGCCAGGTTCATACCATGGAATGCTGATTCTGGGCCCGGGAAACAAGCACAGACTGGTGGGACTGCCTAGTGTTGCAGGTGTGGGATGATTCCCAGTGGCTGCAAAACTTTCATATGCGTAGGGCCACTTTCATTGAACTTTGTGACCTGCTGTCCCCTGCCCTGAAGTGCAAAGACACCAAAATGAAAGCAGCCCTCACAGTTGAGAAGTGAGTGGCCATAGCCCTGTGGAAGCTTGCAACGCCTGACAGCTACTGGTCAGTCGGGAATCAGTTTGGAGTGGGCAAATCTACTGTGGGGGCTGCTGTGCTGCAAGTGGCCAACGCAATCATTGACCAGCTGCTATCAAGGGTAGCGACTTTGGGAAATGTGCAGACCATTGTGGATGGCTTTAATGTGCTGGGGTTCCCTAACTGCGGTGGGGCGATAGACGGAATGCATATCCCTATCTTGGCCGGGGCAGCCAGTACGTAAACTGCAAGGGATACTTTTCCATGGTGCTGCAAGCACTGGTGGATCACAAGGGACGTTTCATCAACATCAATGTGGGATGACCGGGAAAGGTGCCTGACGCTTGCATCTTCAGGAACTCTGGTCTGTTTGAACAGCTGCAGGAAGGGACTTACTTCCCAGACCAGAAAATTACTGTTGGGGATGATGAAATGCCTATAGTTATCCTCGGGGATTCAGCCTACCCCTTAATGCCAGGGCTCATGAAGCCGTACACAGGCACCTTGGAGAGTAGTAAGGAGCAGTTCAACTATAGGCTGAGCAAGTGCAGAATGGTGGTAGCATGTGCTTTTGGACATTTGAAAGCGCGCTGGCGCAGTTTACTGACTCGGTTAGATCTCCGCACAACCAATATTCCAATTGTAATTGCTGCTTGTTGTATGCTTCACAAGATCTGTGAGAGTAAGGGGGAGACATTTATGGTGGGGTGGGAGGTTGAGGCAACTCACCTGGTGGCCAATTTCGCACAGCCAGACAACAGGGCGATTAGAAGAGCACAGCAGGGCATGCTGCGCATCAGAGAAGCTTTGAAAGCCAGTTTCATGACTGGCCAGGATACAGTGTGACAGTTGTGTCTGTTTCTCTTGAAGTTACCTGCCCCCTATATATATGAAAGGAAATAACGTCACAATTGTTTAAAAACCTTTCTTTATTATTTGTTGCACAACACATTGAGAGAAATCAGAAGGTAGACTGGGGGTGAGTACGGCGGGAGGAGAAGAGAAGGACAAGTCCAGAAACCAAATCAAAATTTCGGATATGCCAGCTTTCTGCTGCTTGTGCAATCCTCTGGGGTTGAGTGTGTGGGTCCCTGTAGCCTCCCTCCGCCCCGTGTTCTTGGGTGAGGAGGCTATGGAACTTGGGAAGGAGGGAGGGCAGTTATACAGGGGCTGCAGCAGCAGTCTGTGGTCTTGCTGCCTTTCCCGCATTAGATCCACCATACAGCAGAGCATGTCAGTTCGCTCCCCCATGAGCTTGACCATAGCATCCTGCCTGCTCTCATCGCACACGTCCCTCCTCTCTTCGTGTTCATTTAACGCTTTACAGGACTCCACAATTGTTTGCCTCCACACATTCAGCTGGGCCCTATCAGGAGGAGAAAAAGGGAGAAAAGGATACATTTTAGAGAACAAAGGGGGCACTCTTTCTCAGTGAAACAGGCAATTCATAGTATACAGTACACGTTCTTTCTGTACAAGGTCACATTTTGCCTCTTATACTGAAGTGCCTGCCACTCTGGTGTGAGTAAGCCATCACACACAGCTGGGCAACAGAATTAAACTTGCAGGCAGCCATGGTAAGCCCTAGGGGCACGCGGGGTTCTGCTTCTTCCGCATTCATTTCAATGCTTTCAAACTGCCGGTTCCCCTTTCCCATAGCAAGCAATGCCTGGTGGGTTTGCCATATAAAAGGAGGGCCTGCAGTCTCTCTGGGATGATCGCTTCATACATCACCCCCCACCCCCCGCACCCACCACGTGGCTCCAATGAGGCTCTGAGCAGGGATGAGCCCTTTAAACTAAACGCGAACAGCCCAGCACAGCTGGGTTTCCCCCCACCGCATGGCTCTGATCAAGCTCTCACTCACCAGAAGTGCCTTCTCCAGGGTCATGGTCCGGGAGCCCACCTTGGGAGTGTGGGGAGGCTGTTGGCTCCAGTGTTAAGACTAGTTCCTGGCTGGGGGGGGAAACGGATTCCCCACTTGCTGCCTGTGCACTGTCCTCCTCCTCTTCGTCCTCCAATAACTCATCCTCCTCGCTCCGTGCAACTCCCCCCTTGTAGGTGTCTACGGACAGTGGTGGGGTAGTGGTGGCGTCACCCCCCAAAAATGCATGCAGCTCATGGTAGAAGTGGCATGTATGGGGCTGTGACCCAGAGCACCCGTTTGCCTCCCTGGCTTTTTTGTATGCTTGCCTGAGCTCCTTGATTTTTGTACGACACTGTGTCCCTGGAGCAGCCTCTTTATGTCATGGCCCTGGAGACTTTAGCGTACGTATTTGCATTTCTTTTTTTGGAATGTAGTTCTGCTATAACAGATTCACCTCCTCAACATGCGATGAGATCCAGTACCTCCTGTTCAGACCACGCTGGAGTTTGTCTGCGAATCCGGGACTGCGTAGTCTCTTGTGACGGTGGACTCTGCATGGTCAACTGTAATGGTGGACTGTGCTGATGGTCACCTGTGCTGATGGTGACCAAACAGGAAATGAAATTCAAAAATTCCCAGGACTTTTACTGCCTACCTGGCTAGTGGATCAGAGTTGAGAGTGTTTTCCAGAGTGGTCACAAGGGAGCATTCTGGGATAGCTCCCGGAGGCCAATAACATCGAATTGCGTCCACAGTACCTGTAACCCGGAACTTTGATCTCGATTTTAGCGCTACTGAGGTGGAGTACAGAAATCGGATTAAAGAGCCCTTTAAATCGAAAAAAATGGTTTGGTCGTCTGGACAGAATCAGTTTTATTTCGAATTAACTCGGCTAATTCCAAAATAACCGCGTACTGTAGACCAAGCCTCAGATTTTATTTTGTCTGCTCCAATCTCTCTAGTGGGTCTGAATATCGTGAGACTTTGGGGAAGTTCACGTCTGGATTTATACCTTAACGCTGCATCATGGGCCAATCTTGAATATAATCCCAATGTGAGTTACAAGTTTATCTCAGCTAAATCCCAGTTTTAGGTACACACATCTGGTTTCATTCTCTGTGCTATTCTAGTAGATGTTCAACAGTTTGTGGATTGTATTTGTCCCCCAGTGAATAAAAATAATGAAAGCAATTAGTTCCTAGTGTTTGGAGATACATACTCCTCCTTTACAGGGAATCTAAACATTTTACATAACTATGTGACATTAAGCTGTCACAATGTGCTACAGTTGCAGCACTCCATATTAAGCATAATGTGCACAACTATGCCGGTGTGGGTGGACAATATAATCAGGCCATCTTCAATGGCACCTAAATTTGTGAGCAGCCTACACACTGTACCCATACAATGGGACTCATGAGGGATAATTGTGATAAGAACTTATTTACTAAAAAGAACCCAATAAAGGGTCCTAATTTGAATTTTTGACTTACATACTTTTTATGTATCCAGGACCTGTTTTTCTATATAGACTCGACCTGTGTGTATCCTGCATGCCCCTCTAATCTTTGAACGTCAAATATGGCATAGTGGTGAGTGCAGATATTTTGGCTCTCACACAGAAAAATCAGGAGTTTCCTGTATGGTTTTAGGATCTGATTTTTTTATTACTTTACATGGAACAAGCTCAATTTATGCTAATTGGATTTTGTACTGAGATCCAGCAAATGCCCTCTATCAAAAATTCATATTGTATATAGATTAGTGGAGAGAAATAGACAGTGATTCAAAATATGGATGCTGTAAGGCTGCGAATGAAGGAAAATGTCCTATTGTCTAACAGCTAAATAAGGGAATGTGGAGAAAAAAACTCCAGATACAGATCTTTGCCCTTAATCATCCCTCCCTTTCCCAAGCTGAGGAAAAAGAGAGTTTTGCCTGCCTATATTAAGGGTATATTTGACCCAGTGGGTCCAATTCCCAATATCTTGGGGATGCAAGTCAATGAGGTCATCTCAGAGCAGAATTTGGTCCATAAATAAAATTTGACTGTTAATTGCCTAATCCGGGATACTAAGAACCACAGCACCAATAACTTTGAAGTAGTGTAACATAAAGAAAGCTAATAAGTTACTGTTCTATCAAATTATCTGTGTTATCAGTTCTACCATCTACATGCTCAACAGTTTGTAGATTGTATTTGTTAACCAGTGAATTAAAAATAATTAAAGAAATTAGTTACTAATATTTGGAGATACAGACTCCTCCTATATAGGGAATCAAAACATTTTCCATAACTATCTGGCTAAAGATCTGTATTATCAGTCCTACCAGTCATATCTGACAGGTATATGTGTGATCACAAAATAACAGGCCTCAATTCTGCAACCCCTTATATATCTGCTTAACTTCAACCATGAGTCGTTCTAATGAAGTCAATGGGATTGCTCAGGTCAGTAAAATTAAGCACGTGTGTAAGCATTAGCAGCAATGGAGCCATAGTTTGCTGCCCTAAATTGTCTTTTGGCAGCCCACGGGATTACTGTGCTATACCTGAATTTGTCCACATTTCTGTAGGGCACTGATCTAAACAATAGTAAAAATCAACACAGCTTCATAACTCTATATCTTTTCCTACAGATGTTCATTATCTGTGTTTCAATACATTTTTATTAAATATTAACACATGCTGCGGAGCACTATGTTGATTAGCAGACTTTACACTTACCTATAATCTTTTGAAAACTGGAAAGGTTTCCTATATAAGTAGTACAGGGTACATTTCTTATGTAAAAATATTTTAACAAAGCCTTAAGGAATATTTACTAGGTAATATGCAAAAATAGCTGTTTTAATAATAATAAAAAAGCATCTATTCACAAGTACCTCAATGAGAAAAAAAAATGACTGCAGAACATACCTTTAAGAACCCATTTTCCTCTCTTTTCCTCCTCCCTCCCCACCTTCAGTGGCTGAAAAGCCAATCAAAGAATTCTCCACCTCCCACACAGTTCAGTACTGGATCTGGGTGCATTATCACAATCATACTTTGGGACTTTCGAGTGGTGAAAGAAATTAGTTAACGCACTAAGGAATCTTAATTTCAAACATAATTCTATACCTTTTAAATGGTCTTTCTTGCCGACATGCTACAGGTTGAGAATTAAACATTTCTCATCAGTTTCAACTCAGCCTGGATAGAAGACACATTTAAAGAGATGTCTCTAGCACACTGGCATTCAGCTAATCAGACTTCACATGCATCGGTCAATATTACAGAACAACTGAGATCTATCACTGACAATGATATTGTAGATCAAGGATGGACTGAAGACTCCTTTCCAGGATTAGAAATACTGTGCACAATTTATGTTACATATGCTGTAATCATTTCAGTGGGTGTCCTTGGAAATGCTATACTCATCAAAGTCTTTTTCAAGATTAAATCAATGCAGACGGTTCCAAACATTTTCATAACCAGCTTGGCTTTTGGAGACCTGCTTCTTTTGTTAACCTGTGTGCCAGTAGATGCAACACGCTATATTGTGGATACGTGGCTCTTTGGAAGAATTGGCTGCAAGCTGTTATCTTTTATCCAGCTAACTTCAGTTGGAGTATCAGTGTTCACTTTAACTGTTCTCAGTGCTGACAGGTAGGTCTGTAGCAATTTGATTTGTCAGGAAGTACTTGTGCATTAAGACAGAAATGAATAAAAAGGGAAGAAGCTAACACTTTGCATTAATTTGTAATACTTAGTCCTTGGATAGATAAATATGATGTTAAATGTTCCCATTAAAAGCTAGATGATTTTTTCCAGTAATCAGTAAAAATCAACTCCAATTTGTTTAAGTTAAGAGATCAATATTCTCTGAAAGTGTAAAAGAATTCTTTTTAATGAAGTGAATTTTAAAATAATTTTAAAAAATAAATCTGACCTTTTATTAGTTTTAAGTGATGTAAGAAAGACATTTTTCCCTCTACTGAATCAAGAAAGATAAAAGGCTTACAGCAGGGAAAAGATAGTTTGTATATTGGTGCTACCTAGTGGTGTACAGAAGTAGTCAATGAGGATGAACAACACATCCTCATGTGAAAATGACTAAGGACAATGGCAGGTTTCAGAGGAACAGCCGTGTTAGTCTGTATTCGCAAAAAGAAAAGGAGTACTTGTGGCACCTTAGAGACTAACCAATTTATTTGAGCATGAGCTTTCGTGAGCTACAGCTCACTTCATCAGATGTTTACCGTGGAAACTGCAGCAGACTTTATATACACACAGAGAATATGAAACAATACCTCCTCCCACCCCACTGTCCTGCTGGTAATAGCTTATCTAAAATGATCAACAGGTGCTGGAAATGGCCCACCTGTTGATCATTTTAGATAAGCTATTACCAGCAGGACAGTGGGGTGGGAGGAGGTATTGTTTCATATTCTCTGTGTGTATATAAAGTCTGCTGCAGTTTCCACGGTAAACATCTGATGAAGTGAGCTGTAGCTCACGAAAGCTCATGCTCAAATAAATTGGTTAGTCTCTAAGGTGCCACAAGTACTCCTTTTCTTTTTAAGGACAATGGGAATCCTTCCATTCACTTCAACGGGCTTTGGATCAGGCCTTAAAACTCTAACTAAATTGACTGCCACTTAGAGGTAAAAGTGTCTACGTATTATTTTAAATCTTGCTCTGTATACATGTGTAAACTGTCCTGTATGAGTGTGACCTGGCGTGTGATCACAAGAACACAGTGGGAAACAGATATTACACTGATTTTCCAATGAATGCATCCGATGAAGTGAGCTGTAGCTCACGAAAGCTTATGCTCAAATAAATTGGTTAGTCTCTAAGGTGCCACAAGTACTCCTTTTCTTTTTGCGAATACAGACTAACACGGCTGCTACTCTGAAACCAGATATTACACTGTATCCTATCATTTTAAGTTCTATGCACTTCTGCACAGATTGTTTTGCACAAGGAATCAGTGCCAAAGTTTTCTTTTGCCTGGTCCAAAAACATGAACAAACCAGCAGCAATCAAGGAATGTCTTGAAAATGGCAGGAAAATAAACATCCCTGAACTTATAAAGCCCCTTGCGAGCAGACTAGCCCATCTGGAGTAGCAAAATGGTCAGTTTCCCATTCCCCCCTCATTCCAAGTCTGAGAGCTTCTTGGTCCTTCTCCTAGGCTGAACTAGACTGGAAGGAGCACTTCATCTTCCCTTCAGGTGCCTTCCTCTGCCTTTTGTTGCTATGTCTACCTCAACAAAACTTTAAACCCTTTCATGCTTACTTTTAATGTGGGGCATATGCAACTCCACACAAGGTCTTCATATTACATATCTTTGTAAATTCCTCATTTACCTCCCCTTGTGCACCCATAATACAGAATATACAACTCCACCCCCAGTCCCCCCAAATATTAACTTTCACACAAAACCCCTCCAAACACTAGATGGCACCTCTCCTCAGCATAATTTACAAAGCAAACTGAATTTGGAGTTTGCAGGCCAGTCTATTTTGGAGATACTGTATGATCATTCTGGGAGAGGAAAGTTTCAAGACAATTAAAGTCAATAGGATATAAGTACATGCTTAAAGTTCATCCTTGAGCTTCTGCCTTCCTTATAGAGAGACTAGCATCACTTCAAAACACAGAAGAACAAATGCATAATTATGTATATATCTAGCATTTTAAAAACTAAAACGGACCAAATTCACCCCTTTAAATTTCCAAGAAAATTATGTCAACCTCAGTGGAGATATATCAGGCATGAAGGTGTCCCCACAAATTTAAATTATTGGTGCTCAAGACTGATGTTACTGCATTTTTTCTAACACTATGATGTTGGTTGTGTTTCTAGGTACAGAGCTATTGTTAAGCCCTTGGAACTGCAAACATCAGATGCAGTTCTGAAGACCTGCTGTAAAGCTGGCTGTGTTTGGATTGTCTCCATGATATTAGCAATCCCAGAAGCTGTATTTTCGGATTTATATTCATTCAGCAATCCTGAAAAAAATGTATCTTTTGAAGCATGTGCCCCTTATCCTGTATCTGAGAAGATACTGCAAGAAGCTCACTCTCTAGTTTGCTTTTTGGTGTTCTATATTATACCGCTAGCTGTCATTTCTGTCTATTATTTTCTTATTGCCAAAACATTGTACAAAAGTACATTCAACATGCCAGCTGAAGAACATGGTCACGCCCGTAAACAGGTAAGGAAGGATCACAAACTAGGGTGCCCAGCTTATAGAAGTCTAAGCATACTGGCTGAAATCTTAATTTAATTTGAGTGCGAACGTTTTACATATACAGTATACACAATAGACAAGTAACAAGCCTAGGTAAAGTGCAGCCTGTATACACAGGCAGCAATAGCCCTGATTCAGCAAGGCATTTAAGCATGTGCTTAAATACTATTGATTTAATTTTACGTATGTGCTTAAATGCTTTGCTGAATAGCGATGAATTATGCTTTGCTGAATTAGGGCCACACTGCATTTAGGAGCTATGGCACCTTTCACTAAATTCTAAACACTGAGGGACGGAGCCTGCATTAGAATGCATTAGTTAACGTGTTAACATCACATCCTTAAATCCTTGTCTAGATGAGGCCTCAGTGGGTTCTATCAGAGCAAAGGGTGGGAGAGGGAGTTTCATAGTCAGATGTTCCCAAGTGAAAATACCCTGTCCAAAGCCACAAAAATGTATGGGTGAAAATGAAAATGCTTTAGTTTCTGCTTTGTTTCCATGCTGACTTTCAATACTTATCGTATGTAGACTGATTTTTATTAAGGGTCTCAGAGCCCTCCAGGGAGTAGCATAATACATAAATATGTATTATTAATACTAGATATGCAATTATTTTTTCCTAGATTGAATCCCGAAAGAGAGTGGCAAAAACAGTGCTGGTGCTAGTCGGTTTGTTTGCCCTCTGCTGGCTGCCTAACCACATTCTCTATTTGTATCGATCTTTCACCTACCACTCTTCTGTAGATGCCTCTGCCTTTCATCTTATAGTCACTATTTTCTCCCGGGCTTTGGCCTTCAGCAATTCCTGTGTCAATCCCTTTGCTCTTTATTGGCTGAGTAAAAGTTTCCGGCAACATTTTAAAAAGCAAATCTTGTGTTGCAAGGCAAGGCTTCCTACACGGCCTCCCAGCAACACACCTACCAGAGCTTTGTCAGCCACAGGCAGCACAAATGGCTCAGAAATCAGTGTTACTTTGCTAACAGATTATAGTGTCACAAAAGAAGAGGAGAGTGTTTAGTTCTTCGATCATGGAGAAGAACCAACATCATGCATTTCCCAAGATTCTAGTGCACCAGGACCCTGCTAGGAGCTGCAAGTAAACAAAAGAATGCATCCTTTATACAGTCTGTGAAAGCATCTTCAGCAGGACGTCTTAACATCTTCAATTATACAATGGGGAAATCACACCAGTATGTGTGGGGAAAAGAAGAAACACAACTGATGTAAGCTCAGTCAAGAGGATAGTGCCTATTCCCCGGGAATGCTATGCATCCTTTCCATATGCCTGAGGTTTCTGCACCAAGCTGACAAAGTTAAGCTCAGTTAAACAAAGTTAAACTCACTTGAGCTGCAGGACTATTTTTGTACTGGCTCTGTGTTCAGAGAATTAGAATTGCTGTTATACTCTTGGCCACAGAGTAGTGACAATGAGCGCTGCCTTTTGTTGAGTACTTATGTTGTCTTTGATGTTTTTTAAAATGGAAGCAGCTCTCCACAGAATGACAAACCAGAGAGGTTTCTTATTTTGTCACTTTCCTTGCACCAAATATTAACGCTCAAAACTTTGGAGTGAAAGTTTAGGGGGAGGTTATTATTTTTCATAAACTGAAATTAAACCATGCTGAAAGTTGTAGCACGATGCTGAGACAGCACTAAGCTGTGGTCTACACTACAAACGAATGTCAGTATAACTGCGTTGCTCAGGGGAGTGGAAAATCCACCCCCCTAAGTGACGCAGTTATACCAACCTAGCTCCTGTCAGCTATAGACAGTGCTATGTCAGCTTCTCCTGTTGTCATAGCTGCTGCCTCTCAGGGAGGCTGAGTCCCTATGCCAACTGCAGAAACTCCCCCATCGGCATAGGTAGCACAGCTGCAGCACTGTAAGTGTAAACAAGCCCTAAGAATCAGAAGCTTTAGATCCTATTCCATAGTCTGTCACTCACTTGCTGTGTGACTCTGGAAAGTTGCTTACTGTATGGCCTGATTTTAAGAGGTCTGAGCTTCTACGCTCCTAATTAAGTCAGTGGGAGCAGCAGGCACTCACATCTGTTAAATGGGGATAATCATACTTACCCACCTTTGCAAAGTACTTTGAGATCTATAGATAAAAAAGTCCTATAAAAGGACTAAGTGTTATTATTTAGCATGATATTGATCAAGGGAGGAAAAATCAATCTACCCTATCAACTCAATAGTCAGAAAGAGCTAGAATAAGTGCTGGAAGTTAATTTACTTTATAGCAGTGGTTTTCAAACTTTTTTTCTGGCAACCCAGTTGAAGAAAATTGTTGATGCCCCTGACTCAACGGAGCTGGGGATGAGGGGTTTAGGGTGCGGGAGAGGCTCAGGGCGGGGGCAGAGGGTTGTGGTGCAGAAGGAGGTCAGGGCTCTTGGCTGGGAGTGCAGGCTCTGGGGTGGGGCCAGGGATGACAGGTTTGGGTGCAGGAAGGGGGTCCAGGTTTGGGAGAGGCTCAGGGCTGGGGCAGGGGATTGGGGCACAGGGTTGGGGGGCAGGCTTACCTTGGGTGGCTCCCAGTCAGCGACACAGCGGGGGTTCTAAGGCAGGCTTCCTGTCTGTCCTGGCACTGCGGCCATGCTGCGCTGCGAAGCGGCCAGCAGCAGGTCCGGCTCCTAGGCAGAGGCACTCAAGCAGCTCCGTGTGGCTCTCGCCCATAGGCACTGCCCCCCACCAGCTCCCATTGGCCAGGAACCGGCCAATGGGAGTGTGGAGCTGGTGCTTGGGGTGGGGACAGCGCATGGAGCCCTGTGGCCCCCTGGGCCTAGGAGCCGGACCTGCTGCTGGCCGCTTCCGGGGCACAGCACGGTGTCAGAACAGGTAGGGACTTGCCTGCCTTAGCCAGGCAGCACCACCGACGAGACTGTCAATGGCCCAGTCGGCAGTGCTGACCAGAGCCACTGTGACCCAGTGCCTTACATTCCGTGACCCAGTACTGGGTCTCGACCCACAGTTTGAATACCACTGCTTTATAGTAAGTGTTAGATTTTTGTTTTCCAGGTTATTAGAATAAGTTTCTTTCATAATGGAAGGTCCCCTTGCTCTCAAGTCAGTTGACCTTCTAGATGAGAGACATACATGCCAGACAATAATGGCTGTAGACAAGCAGACTGTATAGCACTGAAAAGTTCAATATGACTATTGGCATGGGTCAGCTTCCCTGTCAGGGAATGCTGGGAAGCCAGCCTTCCTGGCTCCGAGAGTTACAAAAGTCCTGGAAGACAGACATTTTATGAAACTTCTGAGACCTGAACTAGAATTTTGCTTTACAGGAAATGAGTCAGGAAATCCCAATGGACCTTCCATTGTCCAAACTGAGGAAACAGAATTTCCATCTGAATAAGAAAGCTGGGGAGGAACTTATAGAAGAGAGACTATAGTGTAGGTGTTAGTTTGACAAAATTTGGTATGGGCAGGGTGGAGAAGTCATTTTATTTCCTAATTAGAAGGAAAATTAACTGTTGAAGATGCAACACGTTTGAGCGGCAATTACTTGTAGTGCCCCTAGCAATAGTGACTGGTATGTAGCAAAATGGAACACTGAATAAGGGGAACATAAAAGTGCCTTCAAGTCATGTTTACCCTCCCTCGCTAGTCCTGCGCCAAGCACAGCTTGGCTGGAGCAAAGAATCAGGCCCCATGTACCTTGAACGGCATTTAGATGCCTCCCTTCCCTTTGCCTCTAATAGGGCTATGGGATAGGCCTACAACTGATAAATAAACCACACAAATATGAACAAACTTTTAGCTTCATGGAGTTGAACATGGGGAACTTTAAACAAAAGAAAGCATTCTTTCCTCACCTAGAGTTTGCGTTTAAATTCCATACTTTCATACCCCCCATTTCTGAAGGGCCTCTGGAAAGTGAATCTGCCATGTGTTTCCAAATTTTAGACACTTCCTCTGCTGACGGCTAAACTTTAAAGTATGTAATCTTTGGGTATTCCTCATAACAGCCCCTAGAAATGTCAGCTTCTAAGATTCACTATTTTCTTGTTTTACATTAGTTACTTTTTGCCTTCTTTCAGACTAGTAGCCGTGTTAGTCTGTATCCGCAAAAAGAAAAGGAGTACTTGCATGCATCCAATGAAGTGAGCTTTAGCTCACGAAAGCTTATGCTCAAATAAATTTGTTAGTCTCTAAGGTGCCACAAATACTCCTTTTTTTTTTGCCTTCCGTATCTATTGTTCTAAATGAGCTAACTTGTTGCTATTGTATGCTTTTATAAACGTATGTTTCCGCTGTACATTGTACATTTGACAGTTAGGAATCAACTATATTGCAGGCCATGACAGGACCTAACCATTCCATCTGTCAGTGAATGGGATGTAGGCAGTTGTGCATAGTGCTTGAAGCAGGAGTTAGGCCTACTGGTTAGAGCAGGAGTCAATAGCCAGGGTCAGAACCATAGGCTGAGGCCAGATGCCAGAGCCAAAGGTCAAAGCCAAAGTCAGAAATTGGTGCCAAATGTCAGAACCAGGTTACCTGGAGGCAAGGCAGGAGCAGGATTGGGTCTGAGGCACGTGCTATCATAGCGATGGGCAAATGCTCTGAGCAGCCGCCAAATTGCTGGGCTTAAGAGCTGGTCTGTGGACTCTTCCCAATAATCAGGCAGTCTACTACAGGCCAGCTGCACTCATTAGGTTGCCCAGAGACTGGCTCTGCTGCAGGCCCAGATTCTTGACACCATCATGTAACACACTATATGGTTTTATCGTTCTACCTTTTTTCAACAATAGTTATATTTGCACTCTCATGATACATCACTCTGATACAATGTATTGGTTAACATTTACTTTATCTGAACAATCTGATGTTACTACTCGGTCTATCCGTCTAACAATCCATATGTAATGAATAATATCTCTCTAGGCTACCAACATTAGACATAGGGAAAAGGGGTTAAGGCTTCGTTGGCAATCTTTTCCTAATGTTTCTTTCTAGAAAACAGATTATGAGTGAAATTCAGCCCTGGGTAATGCGGATCTAAATCTACTCAAATTAAGGCTGTGATGCCCACTTACACCAGCACTGAATGTGATTTAGAAAAGAACTGTAACATGATGGAGTCTGGATTTATAATGCAAATTCATATTGAGATAGAGAATATGCAAAATATGTAAAAACAAAAAATAATTGAAAACTAGGGGCTCAATCTTGCAAAGCCTTACTTGAGTAAGTGCTACGAATGTAACATGAAGGCTTGCAGGATGGGACCATATATTATTTTATGAATGAGATATATCCCCAGGTTGCTTTCTTTTGCATGTATGTAAGATATAATTTAATCTAATGATGTTTTAATTTGCTTGGGCACATTTTGCGCACATTTAATAGCCTCGTTAACTATAAAGGCCCCAATTCAGCATAGGACTTATTAGGATTTAAGAAAGTGCTTAGATGCTTTGCTAAATCAGGGCCAAAGGATTTCTTCAGGCTGAAAAGTATTATTCAGCTGAACTTAAAACAGTCTAGCCTCCAGTAAAATAATTCCAGTGTCTCTTCACTTATCAAGGGGTTCCTTAGTTAAACGACCCTTGGCTCCAAATCGTGACTTTCAGTTTTGTGGAACTTGCTTGTTGCATTTGCATTATTTAGTAATTTTGACATAATATTTTAAAAATATATTTATATGTTTAAACCAAAAAGTTTTTTAAAATGACAGTCACCACAATATTACTGCTCTTTAGGTGTTGTAAAAATTACCCGCTTGAATGAGTAAAAGTGTAGACATTGTTAAAAGAACTGTTGCTAACATGAATATTATCAGTATTTCAATTTGTGCTTATCATAATGTAAGATACTGGCTTAGGACTGAAATCACCTTTCAATCAGAAAAACAAACCAAATCATATCAAAGCATGCATGTATTGTAAGAAGCTGAATCTCTGGGAAATAGAAATGCTAAAGTTATTTCATAAAAATCACCAATTTTTAATTCTTTTTCTTTTACGCTTCTCAGAAAAGAGTCTTATTTTACTGTAAGTAGTTTAACATGGGCTGCCTGCTGACAGTAATGTATTTCTGCTAAGCATATTACAACTAAAGAATAAACTAAAGTTGCACACAGCTAAAGTGTTTGTACATTTCAATCAGTGGTACTTATTCAAAAGAATACAGGCTCGATGCAATGGATGATTTTTGGCTCTGCAGCAGATGCTCTATTCAGCAGAAAGGTAAACTATTTCATGGAAAGAGAAAAGGAGTACTTGTGGCACCTTAGAGACTAACCAATTTATTTGAGCATGAGCTTTCGTGAGCTACAGCTCACTTCATCAGATGTATACCGTGGAAACTGCAGCAGACTTTATATACACACAGAGAATATGAAACAATACCTCCTCCCACCCCACTGTCCTGCTGGTAATAGCTTATCTAAAGTGATCAACAGGTGGGCCATTTCCAGCACAAATCCAGGTTTTCTCACCCTCCACCCCCCCCACACAAATTCACTCTCCTGCTGGTGCTAGCCCATCCAAAGTGACAACTCTTTACATAATCAAGTCGGGCTATTTCCTGCATAGATCCAGGTTTTCTCACATCCCCCCCACCCCCATACACACACAAACTCACTCTCCTGCTGGTAATAGCTCATCTAAACTGACCACTCTCCAAGTTTAAATCCAAGTTAAACCAGAACATCTGGGGGGGGGGTAGGAAAAAACAAGAGGAAACAGGCTACCTTGCATAATGACTTAGCCACTCCCAGTCTCTATTTAAGCCTAAATTAATAGTATCCAATTTGCAAATGAATTCCAATTCAGCAGTTTCTCGCTGGAGTCTGGATTTGAAGTTTTTTTGTTTTAAGATAGCGACCTTCATGTCTGTGATTGCGTGACCAGAGAGATTGAAGTGTTCTCCGACTGGTTTATGAATGTTATAATTCTTGACATCTGATTTGTGTCCATTTATTCTTTTACGTAGAGACTGTCCAGTTTGACCAATGTACATGGCAGAGGGGCATTGCTGGCACAATGCAGGAGGGTGATCTATGCTGGATCTATGCAGGAAATAGCCCGACTTGATTATGTAAAGAGTTGTCACTTTGGATGGGCTAGCACCAGCAGGAGAGTGAATTTGTGTGGGGGGGTGGAGGGTGAGAAAACCTGGATTTGTGCTGGAAATGGCCCACCTGTTGATCACTTTAGATAAGCTATTACCAGCAGGACAGTGGGGTGGGAGGAGGTATTGTTTCATATTCTCTGTGTGTATATAAAGTCTGCTGCAGTTTCCACGGTATACATCTGATGAAGTGAGCTGTAGCTCACGAAAGCTCATGCTCAAATAAATTGGTTAGTCTCTAAGGTGCCACAAGTACTCCTTTTCTTTTTGCAAATACAGACTAACAAGGCTGTTCCTCTGAAATATTTCATGGAAGTCATTTTCTTTGTGAATATGGAGAGTATTGGCCTGAATTTTTAACATACTGGGCTGATACTGTCATTTTTATGCAACTTAGGTGGCCATTGAATGTAATTGGAATCTTATGTGCATAAGGACTACAAGGTCAGCCCTAGTGTAAGGCACAACCAAGCGTAACCTCTCTGCAAACTCAAGAATGGCCATTTAGATTTGCCCAAAGGCATTTTCCTTTAAAAAATATTCTGAATTCTCCGTCTGATTACTAAAGGGTGAAATCCTGTGGCCCCATTGAACTAAATGACAAAATTCCCATTCACTTCACTGGAGCCAGAATTTCACACTGTATTTTTACTAACTGTCACATTCAGAGCACTAATAATCAACTCTGAAGAGCTGGGAACCCCCTTTTATCAATGAATGGAGTCACAGCCAGCCACCAAATAATCATGGTGCAACATCTTAACATTGTTTTGTAATATTTCTCTCATGATGCTGGTTTGAGATGACACACCTCATCACACATTGATGCAAAGCACTGATGCAAACATTGTAAGATATGTGACTCTCTGAAACTCCCTTCAATAAAACATAAAAATCTCCTCTCTCTTCACTGCACCTTTGGCTGCTGTCAGCTAACCAGGAGATTGAAATGCAAAAGTTAGCACACAAAGACATCTGATCTCTTCTGGGGAGCTTTAGGTAAATAAACTAATCAATGTATTATACTATATATTTCACATTTAACACACGTATACTTGATGTATACTTGAATGTGTGGTGTTTTGTAAAAGTTTTATCTGAATGAGTTTGGGATGGCTGAAGTACTTACGAATCAATTGTACAGGTCATCCAAAAATCAAACCTTATATCACAATATATTCTCATGCATATTGTTTAATAGCACAGATTTTAAAGAGAAATTATTTTAGAGAGTTTTAAAAACAATTTATTGATACTATTCTAATATGTTTCTGCTTGTAAAATGAAACACCATTAGTACAATAAATCCAACAGCAGTCTATGAGAAGGAAAACGTATTTATAACAGATTTCTGAAACCTCTAAAATAGCTTTTCTATATATAATAATGTAGCAATTTGCAATCTGCTATCTCATGAGCTAGCAAAAGTACTGTGTTCCATTGTAAACTATCCTTGATGATTCAAGATATTGGATTTTAAACCCATCATTGCTCTAAAACTTAATACTGTGTGTTCTGTGTCTTAGGCCAGGACAGGGGAAATCCATGTTTGGGGAAAGAAAAAAACATTTTTAAGTGGTATCTCTTTGAATTTGCTGTGCGGTTGGAAGTGGTAGTAGTAATCTCAGTTGAGACAAATTGGCTGACAGTTTAAGCAGCCCAATTTATCACATGGTTCTGCAGTTTATCATCACTGGACATTATTACCACATATAGTAAGCCAGTGGATGTTTTACAGCTGTAACATATATGATACGGATAATGTCCTGCATTCAATAAGTAATTACTTACTAATAAATTACAAATTGTTTCATTTTATTCAACTCTTTTAGAATATATCTGAGAACAGACAACTGCATGGAAATTAATGAGACGAAATACAAAAAGGAACATCACAATTTTCTGAAGCAGCATGTGACAGCTGAAAAACCAGTTGTGTTTTGGCTTTCATTTCCTTGAAAAGCATGCTACACATCATACAATGTTGTAATCCTAACAGCAAAATACTGTAATACATATCAGTCAGGTGGTCAATGCTAGGCTGTATTTAATTTTTTAAAACAGAATAGTCATATATGATTAAAAATGGGGACAAACAAGTATATGTTTCTTACATATACCTCCTGTATGTTGGCAGGTTGCAATTTCAGCAGAAGATATGCTCTTTGTTTTGTCCAATTAAAAACAGCTAGGAAGCCTGTGCTGGCCAGCCAGAAGGAGTGCAAGATAAACTAAAAAAATAAATGAATAGAAGTTTGTTCCGAGTCATAAATGAAGAGGAATTTAAAATTTCACATGTAATGCTCATAAAAAATGTACTGTTAGGTCTAGATACTGAAGTCCTTTAATTATTCATTGACCGATTACATCAGAGAGAGCAGGGAAAGCATTCCTCACACTGCCCTGCCAGCAGGCCTAAGCCTCAACCTGGAGGAATCATGTTTATGTGTGAGAGGATAGTTTATTTTCCACACTTATTTAATGCTTGGTCTCTATACTGAAATTGACAACAGTGGTGCTAATTAATGTAAGATGTGGGGTGGTACTCTGACGTGGACATTTATCGACTGGAAACTGAACTGACACTACTGAACAGGCCATCCAACAGGCACATGATGGTAACTTTTGGACATGTACTGCCTGACTTTAAGAAATGCTGAGCACCGGCAATGTATATTGCTCAGCACTTCTGAGAATCAGACTCTTAATGATTTGGGATGGTCTCCTACTCTGCCCTGAGGTGGAAAGCTCTATTAACCCATTACCACTTCCCAAGTCATCCAGTCCTCCATAAATATGAGTTAAATACTTACTGTATTTGCCAAAGGTACTGATATGGGAAACTCTGTTACACACAGATCTGACAAAACAACCAAAGCAGTATAAAATGTAAGCTGTATTCTCTTCACAGCATTCAGAGACATTACTTTGTATTGATGTTGTTTCCCCTCTGCCTCCACACAAACATCAGAATCAGTTTTTGTAAATGCTTACAATAATCTGATCTCAGTTACTCTTCATTTTCACCATTCTAACTGAAGTCAGAATCTGGATCAGCAGATGTCAAATTCCCTTAACCGGATCATTGTAGTTCTTCCTTCAACACTCTAATTTAGGCTGTGCTGAGCTTCCTGGATTAAAACAACACTTCATGGAAACAGCTTTTCCTGGCATGTGTGCTGATGCTTTTATTCAAAGATATGAAAATAAAATTTAGGTTAATGAAAAAATTGATGTTAATTTTGCGAGCTTTGAAACAGAAGTAACTCAAATGCCTCTCTAGCTGTCAGTTTGTAACTGATTGTAAAACAGTCTTTGGACCACTATCATCATAGCTCTGCCAAAAGAAAATTCTTGAAAGATGTCACTAACTACACATTGGATGTTCTTTGTATACCAGCCAGGGATTACTGAAAGTCTATATTTATAGCTGTAGCAATCTTATATGACAGTCTGTTGACTGGCAAATTAACTGATCTCTGTCTCTCCTCAGAGCTTTACTCTGATTTTACTACCATTCCAGTGTATATGACAGTAAAGATATATTTGCTCCTAGAATATTGATTTCCAAAAATCTTCTAGACTGCATACCCTTCCCATTATAGGGTAAAAAGTTTGTTTTGCAACTGCAGCAATCAACAGTTGCCAAGCCGTAAGGATTTGTTCAACTATGTTTTTATTTAGAAGAAGAGTTAAAATAAGTTATATAAATACTTGAATTTTGTAGTCCTAAGCCAAAATTAATGTAACAAAAGTCAACAGAATATGCTTTCTTTATAATGCACATAAAAACGTTTTCTAGTCATATTCTTTTGCAAATAAACATACTTGCAACTCAAAAAGTCTCCCGATCACCTTCTGAAAAATCACTAGATGATTTGGTCACAGTTTAGGGCAACTGCACCTGCATTCCCCTTCCATGGTCCAGCAACGACACCCATTTTTAGACTTCTGGCTCCCAGCTGTCATCTGTCTTGGGTAGAGACCTATGTCTCTTTCCCTTCTGATCGGGGGCTGCACACTTCCCTGTGTTATTGCCAGCAAGTCAGACTGCCTAAACACGCTAGCGTCTGTGCTATTGCCTCTGGAGAGAGAGCAAAAACAGCATAATTGCCCTCAATTAGAAGTTACCACACAGCTCTTTCTAAGCAAGCACATTTATTTTCAAGGTTGAAAGCATTACAGAAAAAAAAACACATTAAAAACAACAAAGGAATGTACCCACATGCTAATAAGCTTACCAAAAATCAACAACTCCAGAAGAGTGTGTGGTAGCAGTCAGTTCTTCAAACCCCACAAAGGATGGGGTTTTTTGGTGGTTATAAGTTCATAACAGCTTTACTTCATAACAAGCACGCTCATGCATAGTATTTCTGTGGTGCATTAAGAACTTTATCATTAAATGTTGTGCTTTATTAACCAAGTAGATGACTATTACTCTACAACAATAATTATAATAATACTGATACAGCATCCCCATCTTCTCCACAAATGCACTGAGAACATGACAAATGGAATTAAAATACAATAGACACTGATGAAGAATTAACTAATTTCCCACTTGAGTCAGTCTCTGGTACTGTCATTAAGAAAGCAATCTTCACCCATTAAAAACCAATTTAAAATTCAGAGTACAAATTTAGTAATTTGCACAGCACCAGTATAGCTTTTTGAACAGTGAGCCAAAATACATTCTCTAGAAGCTGTAAATACGAATAACTTATACTATTCTTTGATTTCTAAAAAGCAGATATTTGGGAGACAGTAGAAGTATTTTAGAAGTTTCAGCAGGGGACACTTCTGGAAGAGGGGAGATTTGGTCATGTCCTCTGCTCCAACACCTGAGGCAACACAACATTTTGAAGCAATACCAGTGTATAGTCTTATCTTTTTTTGTTTAGTCCTGCCAATAAAACATTATGAAAATGGGCTTTCTATCAAATGGAAGATGGCTGCCTGCTCACAGAAAAACAGTGCAACACCAGAAGTAGGAATTATTGTTCAATTCTAGTATATTTTGATATTCTTGAATGATCAATGGCTATTACATCCATCATTGACTATTAGCCAAAATGGTCAGAAACGCAACTCCATGCTCTGGGTATCCCTAAACCTCTGAGTGCCAGAAGCTGGGACTGGACAACCAGGGATGGATCACTCAATAATTGCCCTGTTCTGTTCATTCCTTCTGAAGCACGTGGCACTGGTCATTGTCGGAAGACAGGATACTGGGCAAGATGGACCACTGGTGTGACCAAGTATGGCCATTCTTATGTTCTTAATGATACACTGAAACACTAAAGAGCAAATTTATAAAGGCGTGTCTGGAAAGTTAGCTGCTCAATTCCAATGAAAGTAAATGAAATGGAGCTTGAAATGTCGAGAGAAATCAACACTAGACACAAGATCCACAACTTAGGCACACTATAAAGCAAATAGGAAGCATCTTTTTGTACCAAGTTGTAGGAACTTAAATCCAACTTCCACTGCCAATGTTCACTGTGTTCCTGAATAAGTTTTTAATCTTTTGCTGATGCTGCCTACCATATATACTGATGAACTAACCAGGATGCATTGACATTTTCTGCATAAATGTGACAGCATACACAAAACACATTTCCATATTGAGAGTATAAATGTAGACTGATAAGATAAAATAATATGAAACTGTATTTCTTACCTTAGTGAGCATTAAGATGGCCTCCACTATCCTTTGAAATGAACATCAGGCAGGTGTGAATGAGAGACATGTGAAGGCCAGTCTTGATTTTGATGGGACTATCGGGCATCCTTTGAGCTAAACCAGCTGCACAAGTCTACTGCCCATCAGCGTATGCTTCTACTGCATGAGTGGAGAGATTCCTGCGGAGGAATCACTAACACGGCAGTGTGCTGCTGCTATCATTCAGAAAAACTTTGCGAGTCATGCTGCCAAAGTGCACAGTGGACAAGATAAACAGTTAGCATCATGGCACAAGAGCAATGGCAGCAGCATGATGGCATCTCAAGAACACCAGGATATCACCACTGGGCATGCCTGAGGGGGCCATATGTGACACACAGCCAGGCTAAAATGATGGCCCACAAGGGATTAGGACATAAACTGCAGCAATGGGGCCCGAGAGTGGCAAAGGAGATGGCCTGTGCTGAAAGACCCTGTGGCAGGGCAGACCCTAGTGAGTAGACCCCACGCAGAACAAAGAGGACCAGGACAGACTGTGGCGAGGGGGAGAGGAAGGGCTTGCCTGCCCGGAGCAGGTACCAGGGTCCCTTTCCCAAAGCTGAATGGAGCAGGACACAAGGTCAGTGGTTCCCCCATCTTTTACTAAGGCAACCCACCAGCTGCACTTTGCCTTCTTTCACGCCCCACCATTACACATTCACACTTCTCTGCCCTGCTCCCGCCCGACAGCGAAGCCCTGGGAAGCGAGGGGGCTGGACAGCTCTTTCCCCCCACATTCGCTGGGCCCGGCTCCCTGCCTCTCTGTCCAGTGCAGGTCACCGTGCTGCTGCGGTTCGGCCTGGCCGCCCTCCCCCATGACCCAAGCAGCACCACAGCATCCTGCACTGGGTCAGGCCTTGGGGGGTGGTGGGGAAAGGGGCACTGCGATGAGATGAGATGAGATGAGATGAGATGGGCTCCCCCCCCCCCAAGAAACGATGTTTGCCTAGGCTAGGAGCCAGTTAATCCAGCCCTCAACTGGTCTGGGACCCATCTAGAACCTTCCCAGGCCCCGCCCTTGAGGAAATACTGCGCTAGGCCACGCCCCAGGCGGGAAAAGAAGCCACGGGCTGCCTGCTCCCAGGAAGGGGCCTATCGCTCTCTCTGTGCCTCCCATTGGCCCGCAGCTGACCACGTGCTGGCCCAGCCCTTGCCCGTTGGCTCCGTTGAGCACGACCATTCCTTCCACCCATACCCACCTACACTCGCTCAGAATGGTTCCTCCCCTCCCCTCCCCTTCCGGGGGTGGGGCCGGCGGGAGGCAGAGAAGTCACTTCCGCTCTTGCGCACTGAGACCCGGGCCGGGCGGCAAATAAACAGGACTCGGGGGGTAGCGGCTGCCTCCCTGAGGGGAGGCAGGGGCGCGTTGCTCGCGAGGCGGCGGAGCTGCGGGCGGGAGGCGCGTTCCCCGGGCCCGCGGAGGCGGCGCCGCGCCCGGCGTGTACGATGAGCGGCGGCTCGGACGGGAACGAGGAGTTCTACCAGCAGCTGCGGCTCCAGCAGCTGTACGAGGCCCGCCGCAGCGGCGAGGGCGAGCCCGACCCCTTCACCTACGTGGACCCGGCGGATGGGACGGCTTACGAGTGGGACCGAGACAAGAAGGCCTGGTTCCCTAAGGTGAGGCGGGCCGGGGGGCGGCGGCGGCGGCGGCTCGCACTGCCCAGGGCCTCCCCGGGGGCGGGGCGCCCGGGCTGGGGGCGTGAGGGCCGCGGCCGCTTCAGGTTCCCCTCGGTGTGGTGGAGCCTTTCCCGTTGGCTGGTGCGGGGCTCAGGGCCGAGCGCGACACCGAGTCCGGCGGCAGGCGCGCCAGAGCCCCGGAGAGGCTGGCGTGTCACGGCGGAGGGGGCCGATGCCTTTGCAGCACAAGAAAGCCTTGGCCCTCTGTAGCTGCTGCATCTTATTGCAAACTCATGTGTAATTTACGGTCTTCCCTCGCCTCTAGGTGTCCCCGCATTACTGTGTCCCGGGTTTCTCTTTCCCGCGGTACTTTCTTGTATAACACGCAGGGAGCTTTGGTATCTGGGTGGTAACTAAAAGGGGGGGGCGGGGAGAAGGCTCTGATAGTTCTCAGGGCTTCCTTCAAGTCTGCCTTTGCAGAAGATTTTTGGCTTGGCATCTGCAGCAGTGTTTCAGAAATTCCTGGAGGAATACATTTTTATTACATACTGTGGGATAAGTCTTCCCAAAGAGGGGTAGGAAGATAGCATTAAGAGCTAATTAAATGCAGGAGGAGTTAATCCCTGGGCAACCCAGTTATGAGAGTGGCTCAGGTGACTGGCTCAATTCACACTCCATCAGAATTTCTGCTGCTGTACTGGTTTCGGAGTAACAGCCGTGTTAGTCTGTCTTTGCAAAAAGAAAAGGAGGACTTGTGGCACCTTAGAGACTAACCCATTTATTTGAGCATGAGCTTTCATGAGCTGCAATGCAGACATTAGGGAAAGGGAATTGTATGGTGGGTCTGTAATTTGCAAGCCACTTCACACCCTTTTATAGAGCACTGCATATGGGGCTTTCTCCTTAGCCGTGATGTAACTGTAGGTCCATGTCGGGAGTCTGTATGCTTTCCCATTTTGTGTGTGTGTGGATCATACTTAATCATTTTAAGTTTTTTGATTTCTTAAGCCATAAGTATTTCTTCCAGTATTCTTTTGCTCATGGTTTGTGCTTCCCCTTAAGTGAACCTGATGACTAAATGTGCATTGAAATGATAATGATCTCTTAAAGTTTGTTCCACCAGAACAGGATTCAGAGTAGCACCCGTCTTAGTCTGTATCCGTAAAAAGAAAAGGAGTACTTGTGGCACCTTAGAGACTAACAAATTTATTAGAGCATAATTTTCTTTTTACAGAACAGGATTGAGGGCCATTGGTCAGCAATTGTGAGAGAGTTTACACTTGCCTGTGCGGGGGAGAGAGGGCTTAGGTTCCAGTCAAAGCATTAAAAACCGTTCACAGTTATAAAAATTCATTTTTAAAAAGTACAGTAGCTGCTATTATGTTCATGGCTGGTATTATAATAAAGTTGTCTGCTTAATATTCCAGAAGATCAGTCCCAGCAACAGTTGTTTTCCCTTTATCTTCCTGGTTTGGAATAATAGGTCTCAGCTGGCCTTGGGTAAATGGAATACCAATATATTAATATTCCATTGAGGGCTTTTTATTAATAACCCCTTTAACAAAAATTGTTTTGCACTAGCAACCAGTCTAGTTTCAATAAATAAAACAAAGTTGGAAATGTAGTCTGAAGTAATTTTAAATTCATTTTGTTGGAACATTTTTCTTCCCACTCAAATCTAAAAATAATGCTGCTGCAGGACAACTAGTTAGATGTATTGATTCACTGATTTATTAAGTTATTTGATAAACAAAACTATTAACTATTCACTGAAAAAAATTCAAAACAATTTTAAAAAACCCTTTAAAATAAAATTCAGCTCCCATGAAAGTAATGAGCTGTTTGGATTGGCTGGAGCAAAATATAGTGCGGATTACATAGTGTAAGGGGGTAGCAGTGGGATTTTTACCCATGAAATCTTATGCCCAATTAAATCTGTTAGTCTTTAAGGTGCCACTGGACTCGTTCATAATGTAAGATTCTTCAAAGGTCAGTGCATCCCTCCTAAATTAGGCCTGGGCCTTTTGAGATGGACAGACTTTCTATTGCGTAACCAAACTCTTACACTTACATCGCGATATACTAGCAATTTATACACACTGGAATTTAGTGTTATATGGTTCTGCAATAATTTGGCAAATCACTAAACTCCAAAAGCTTTGTATTAAGTTTAATTTTGTGTAGGAGAGAAATGACTGTCATTGACAATTCTGCATCTCTTTCTTTGCCATGGGTATGTACTTGTTAAGGTATGAAACATTTATGTTGAGACCCAAATAATCTATATAAAAGTTCAAGGAGGCTGTAGTGGTTTAATTAGTTACCAAGTTATCATGCAAGCATGGAGTTATTCAGAATCCCTACTATCTCACTCTGGAATTTTTGAACACAGATTAAACCCTTAATATATGAGTTAGTTCAGGAAAACCTAACCTTTTCTTACAACGCTGAGTTCTCATCTTTGAAAAGGTTGTCTGAAAACTTGACCATATTGACAGTGGAAAAGTCGGTTTAAACAATAAGCGGTTGTAACCATTTTGTGATACTAAAATGTCAAACTAAACTTCAACTAGTATATTTTCTTGTCCTGTTACAACTATACAGTACTGCAAATAGTTTGTAAAAACCTTAGTAGTAAAACGTATCTAACAACAAATAAGGTATTGTAATTTTTGCATCTAATCTAATATAGTATATTTTTGGGGTGAGAGACCGATTTAGACACTGCTCATACACTCATTCTCCACAGGGAGGTTTGGTTGGGAGGGAAATAGCTAACATGTTCAGGTAATACTCTGAGCCAAAAATATATGATCTTTGACTTAATCATGTATTAGTGTGTATTGCCTATACTAAGATTTACACTATATTAACACCAGTCAATCTTCTCTGCAAACCTTTTTTCAAGAAGACAGGCCCACAAGTTGCAGTCAATTTAATAATCAGTGTTTTGGTTTTTGGCTGCCTGTCAATGTCACTTCTTCTCCTTGCTCATGGTCGAGAGCAATTGAGTTCTGTTCTTAGTATTCCATTTTGGGTTTCTTTCTGCCTCAGACAAATGTAACTCAGTAAGCGAAAGTATTAAAAGTTTTACCTTGGAAAGGGGGGCACTAATGAATGTGTGTGTTTGTCTGCAATATAGAAAAAAGTTCCTGAGTAGTGTGTGCCGACTTCTCAGTATGGCTTTACTAATACCTGGCATTTCTAAGTTTTCAACTGCAGTGTCCATTTGAGCGTTTATATTTTCCTCTGTAAGTGAAGACATCTGGATTACTGTTTTAGTAGTTATCTTCAGAAATTCAAAATTACAAAAACTTGTAATTTACTGGGGTTTATCTTTGAACTCTATTATAGATTAATATTTAACATTCCTTTTCTAGGTGACTGAAGACTTCCTGGCAACATATCATGCTAACTATGGCTTCCCTACAGATAGTTTAGACAGTTCCTCTGCTTCAAAGACTGAAAGTAAGCCAGCTGTGGATTCTAGGACAGCAGGAGCACAGCAGTCGGCAAATAAAAAAGCACCCCAACAAACAGATTCTAAACAAAAAGGAGAAAAAAGAAAACTCGACGCAGGTAAGGGTCTTCATTTTGCATAAGCTGGAAAATATACAATATTTAAGAAAAAATGAGCAAATGTAATTGTGCATTAGTATTATGCACAGTAGTGATGCTCAGGCATCTGTTCTGAAAATTCTTGAAACACTTCTGAAATTGCATAGCACTTATTAGGTTATAAAAACCTATATTTCTAATGTGAAATATAATCAAGCTACTAATAGTGTTCTGAGTTCCCTAGGGTGAAGTGGAAGCTTCTTGGAAATTTAGTTAGTGAAACTGATAAATGAGAGCTTAATGTTAAAATCCTGTTCTATTTCTAGGGGTTTAGCACAGCTTATACAATTATGATTCTGTTTTTAGGATGGTTTCATGTTGAAGAAGACAAAAACACAAATGTGTATGTGACGGGTAAGTCATCACTTTTTTTTTTAATATAGTGCCAAAGGTGTGTTAGGCAATTTATATAAATAATCTGCTCCAGAGCACTTAATAGCGTGGATCACATTTTAGGACATTGTCTCATTGATTGGCTCCCTCTTCACACCTTCATAATTGCACAGCCTACTTACGCTCACATTTGTGATAGTATAACATCCCTGTGACAACTACAGCAGTTGCTGAGATGGAAAAGTAATACTAGGAAAGTGTTGAATAAATTTACCTGTTTAAATACAATTTAGTTGGCTGAAACACGGGGAGAGAGCCCAGTGTGGCCAGCCAGTACTCCAAGAGCCACCAGCAAGTGCTCCATAGATTGCAGTGGTACATTGACACAACTCATGAATCATTGGTCTAGACCAGGGGGCCTGCCAGTTAGGGTTAGCATTAGACTCACTGGGGTCCTCAGCAGAAAGCCAAAGTCCCACTGCATGGGGCTAAAGCCTGGGGCCCTGGCCCTGCCACCTGGGGCTGAAGCCAAAGCCTGAGCAGTGTGGCTTCGCAAGGGCTCCTGTGGCAAGGGGTCCCAGGCAATTGCCCTGCTTGCTGACCCCTAACACTGGCCCTGGCTTTT